GCCCAGTCTCCCTGCCCCACCCCCCGTAGTCATAGTTTTCATTTATTTTTACTCTCGGTGACTTGCCTTTATCTCAACTTCTGTTCAAATGAGATGCTGATTCATCTCTTTGCATTACATACAAATTACTTTGTCTTCATGTATGAGCTAACATTTAAAATCCATGAAAGCTGCAAGTTGCTTGTGCCTGATTTGCATGAAGGAGCTCTCTAACAAGTTTTTTCCTTCAACAAATTTTCCTCAGAAAAAGCTTTCAGGTCATCCCAACATTGTCCAGTTCTGTTCTGCTGCATCTATAGGAAAAGAAGAATCGGATACTGGGCAGGCTGAATTTCTTCTGCTCACGGAGCTATGTAAAGGTAAAACTTCTGTTTTTGACTACTATGGATTATCCTAAAAACTTGTTCATTTATTTTTGTATATACCAAGTACTGAACAAAAAAAATAGTGTGAAGCTTTAGTTTTCAAGGAACAGCAAAACAACACTTAATTTTGCTCACAAAATGGTGGTGTAGAACAGGCTCCAGTTAATGAAGGAGCAGTTCTTGCAAACTTCTTACTTTGGAGGCTTTCATAGCTTTTTGACCTGTAAGAGCATTGAAGACCATCTTGTGCCTTTTTCCTGTAGGGGTAAGTGTTAAAAATCAGCCTGGAATTTATCTATATAAAATCTGTTAAAATGTAGGGTTTAAAATGGAACTTAATAAACCTTTGTCACATTTACTCTCCTAATATTCTATATGGTAACTTTTCAGAACTTGAAATATCTATATGCTAATATGAATTGGTTTTTCTCTTCTACAGGGCAGCTGGTAGACTTCTTAAAGAAAGCAGAATGCAAAGGGCTTATTTCATGTGATACTGTTCTGAAGATATTTTATCAGACCTGCAGAGCAGTGCAGCATATGCATAAACAAAAACCTCCTATTATTCATAGGGATTTAAAGGTACAGTATAGAATTTAAATGATTACTTTTTTCGAGTATAGTAGGAGCATGCCAGCTTGGATTTATGCATAATATGAAACATCTTGAAATGCAGCACATGCTATTTTGTCAAGAATACTGTTTGAGAATGAAGGCTTGCTTTATATGGCTTACTACTTAGGCAGCATCTGTTATTAATATTTTGTGCTAAAATTCTTGTTGACATTCCTGTTTAGACTGCTAAAAAGCAGTTGAAACCTTGTGGTTTGCTTTTCTTCTCAAGTTAACTGGAGCTTTTTTTTTTTTACGGAGTTGGTACATGTTCCTGAAATTTAATTCAGTTTAGTTCTGGTGGTAAGCAGAGGAAGGCATTGGCATGTACCATATTCACTCAAATATTGGGCAACTTCCCAATAATTAGATTCTATATATGGAACATTTGTAAATTTGTTATCATATTCCAGGTTTAAAATCTAATTATTGGAGGTTTGCTTTGAATTTGTCCCCCTCCCACTACTATAGCAGGGAAGACCAATCTGGGAGAGATCAGGTGGCCCTTTTGCTCCCCTGCCAATTTCTGCTGCAACCCCTTTCCACCCCTTACAGTAAGACCCTGTTCTCCCTGGGCACATGGAAGTAAGGCAAATCTGAAAACAGAGTTGGAAATAAACATTCCTGTAGTAATGTGCTAGTTCATCCAGAATTGATTTAATTTTACCTTTGCTAAAATTTGGAGCAATTTCAAAAAGAGGCACTCCATAAACACACTTAAACAGCAGTTTTGTACCTACTTGCATCTAGTACAAACTATCCAACTATGCATGATATTAGTCCAACTATATAGTAAATCATAAGCTTTTTGGCTTTGATTGGGCTGGGCCCCAGCAGAGTCAGTGTTTTAAGTCATAGTGAACCCCATAGCTCAGCACTGCTCTGTGTGGTATATGTGGGTGCGCATGTGCACATGCTCCTGATTACATTCCCCCCTTTCCAGGGAAAGGCCAGTGTTCATAACTATGGCAATCTGTAGTGTAAAAATCTTGTAACAGGATCCCTCTTTCTTTAAATGAAATTCATAAGCTTTTATATCAGAGTTTCCTATAAGTGTGTGTGTGTTTTGTTTTTTTTTTCCCTTTCATGTGTATGTGAAAGAGAATATCACATCCTCCTACTTGAACATGGAATGTGCTTTTCTTGGGAAGAAACAAACTGAACGTGTATTTGCAGTATAGGCTATGTGGAGCATCTTAACAGGTTATCAAAGGCTTTGATTTTTAGTGGTGCATCACAGATTGCATGTCAGTACAATCTAGTTGACTTAAGTCATGCTGAGAGAAGAGCATGGTCAGATCCAGGATTTTGGAAGGGAGAGTGTGGAAGCAGTGAACTGTGCTGCAAGGGCTGCTGTACCCAGGCTTGCAGCCTCTCCACAACAAGTGGAGGAGCAGCAGTAGGGGACTTTAAATCTCTGAATCAGGTAAGAATCTTCTCTGCTCCTTCCCTTCTCTGTGCTCAGTGGTACATTTCCTCCCCTCCAATTCTTCCCCTTTCCTGGCTGCTGCCCAGAAGAGCCAGGGGCTGGGGAGGCTCCAGAGCCAGTTCTGCCCAACTGCAGCTAGTCTGCATGTGGAGCTAGGTTTGGCAAAGATGGTGGTGGCAGTGGGTGGATTTTCCTTCCCCTGCACCTGCTCTTTGGCTGTAATGGACCTGGGCAGGAAGGTGAGACCTGCCCACTGCTGATACTGTCCCTGATTGAGCCTGCCTCTGCTTGGAGCTGGGCTAGAGCAGGCAAGAGCAGTTCTAGAGCCCCTGCCCCCAGGACATTTGGAGAGTGCAGCAGCAGTTTGCAGGAAGGGAAGGGGCTGCTGAGCGAAGGGAAGGGGAGGTGGGAATTTTTTACTTGTTTTTGAGACTTAAAGTTCCTGGCTACTACTCCTGATGTATGGTAGACTTAAAGGGAGAGGGTGTCCAGGCCGTTGCAGAGCACCACTCCCTCTTCCTCTTCCCCCACCCTCTCAGTCCTCACAGAGAAAAAGATGTGTTTTATTCAACCTGAGGTAAATTTTCCCGGTGCAAATTGTCTAGAGTAACTTTTTTGCACCAGTAGCTAAAACCTCAGTGTACAGAAGCTTGTGGAACATAAGGTAACAAAATAGGAAAGGTCTCCTCTAACAGTCAGCTGTAAAAGTGTTTCCAGCACCCACCCTTTTTGAATAACCCTTTTCACAAAATTGTTCTAGACTAAGTTGAAATGAATACTGTAATCTGATTAAAAGTCAGTCTGAGGGAAATGTCTCTGGCACAGATTCAGTCAGAGGGGGAAAAAGCTGGTTTCATGTTACTGTAGCTGCAGAAGGGGAGAGGACTTTCACATAGCCTGAGAGGGCAAGATCCTGATCTCTGTGCTGCAAGAGACAGTGACTTCATTATAGTGATGTGGGAAGGTGTGTTCCTTGATGATTTCACTCATCTCCCTGCCTTTTTCCACAAAGCTTTATTTAGATCAACAGAGGAGAAGACTTACCAGTGTGCATATAGCTTCTGAGCCAAATCATTTTATTGTTTTTTAGTTTAAACTCATATACAGTGAAATTTTGTCCAAGAGGAAATTGCAGCAGATCGGAAAAAGGTCTGGTTTAGACAGGTTTCTTTTTCATATGGGAAGCAGAGGCACCTGCTTTCCCTGGCTCCATGATGCCTTTCTGCTGGGCAGGCTCTCAAGAAACATTGTCCCCTGCTTGGTATAGTTGACTTAGCAGGACTGGGGGGATGTTTGTTAGGGTGTCAGGGCCAGTGGCACTGCAGTTTTGCTGACTGTGCTGCTACCCGCTGCTTGCTATTTTGGCTGGGGACCAGGGCATCCATAGTGCTACCTAGACTGCTAGAGCACAGGAAAGAGGACCCCCCCCACACTCCCCAGTGGCTCTGCTTGCTACTCCCTTGCTTGCTAGGATGCCTGGGGATGGTCTCCATTGGGTAGCAAGGGTAAGGGGGCTCCCTGAAAAGTGGTAGCACTCCCTCATCCATTTACAACTCGAGTAGCAGTGGGAACAGGGCAACAGGACTGCCTTTTCCAATTTATGCTGCTGCCTGCAAGTCTTTAAAGGCTGTGCTAGAAGCTGTAGGAGTAAGAAGCTGCTGTTTGGTCCTGGGGCTGCTGGCATGCCCTTTAAATTTCCTGGTATGCTAATATTTTGAGACTGGGGAAGTGCTTCTTAGTCTAGCAAGCAGGAGCAGCTTTTCAGAGTGCCCTGCAGGACAGTGAAACCTGTTTAAGAAGTGGGGGTGGTGCTGCTGAAAACACTTACAGCTGATTTGTTAGAGGAGACGCTTCCTATTTTGCTACCTGTAAAAGCTGGTAGCCTGTCAAATTTCCTTTCTGTTTCAATGTTAATTTTTGGTTTAGACTGGCTAAAAACACTTCATTCCCTGTTAGCCATGCCAGGACCACAGACATCTTTTTGGCTTGAGTAGGTTTCCTGACTTAATGGTTTTTAATCTTAGACAAATTTTAACTGTACATTTTTTTGTTTTTTGCTTTTTTAAAATGTTGATTTGCCTTTAAGTGTAGCTTCTTTAGAGAAGAGGATAATCCAAAGACTTCCTGCTTTTTTTAAAGATACAGGGGTGCCTAAACTCTTTAGTATATTGCAGCTTTTAGTAGGCTGAACTTTGCACAGTGACTGTCAGTTGTTTCCTTCTCCTTGTCAGGAATGATTAGGTTAATTTTCTTTCCCTTTGAATCTTTTTGTCAATGGCTAATGGTTATGTGAGTATTAAAGAACTTGATGATGAAGAACTAATTACGGAGTGCCTTGTAAATAGTCCTGTGGTTTTGATGCTTGAAGCCTATCTGAAACATACTTGCAACATCTCCAAAACTGGGGAGGGGAGCTGCTGCTCAGGAGTGTGCAGCAGCTATTGCATTGTTACATGTGCATGATCCCATAGCAATACAAGTGAGCTAAATTACCCTGTTTTGAACCTGGATGAAGCAGGGTTAAAGTTTGTTTGTTTGTTTGTTTTTGTTTGTTACAAGCCCAGCAAAGGTCTTGCAGGTGTGACAGTACAGCATATAACAGCTTCTGCTTGCTCTCAATAGCAGCAGCTCCCCATCCCATTTTGAAGCCTTTACAATAACTGTATGCTTAACCTTGCACTGAGTTTAGTTTGTCCTTTGTCACATGGAGACAAATGAGTCAGTTTTCTTGGGAATTAAATTTGAGTTTTTAAAATTTCCTTTGAATTAGTTTTTAAAGGCATAGGACAAATCCCCTCAATTTGCTGGGTCTATAAATCTTCAGAAGATCAGGGCTGCTTTGGTCATCCTTTTCCATGAGGCTTTGGAGATCATTCATGATATATCTGAAGTATTCAAGATGGGGGCTGAACCAGAGGAATTACTGCGTTTGTCCTGGGGTTGGTGTTGTAGCAGGTTAAAGCAAGCAAGGTCTGTGTCTGGCTTTGAGTACTAAAGTTTTGGGACTATATTGCAGCTGTAGGAATCCTTGTTTCAGATCCTTAAGGTATGCATTCCAGTTAGTGGGATCAGAGGAGATGTGGTTGTAACGGAGAACTTGACTGTAGATGATGGATCTAGCTGTTTGTTTAGGATGAAGACTGGTGGAATGAAAGTAGCTGCAGTGACTGGTGGATTTCTGATGCACTGTGGTGGTGATGATGTGGTCACTGCAGACCGTCACCATGGTATCTAGGAAGTTCGATGGTTGTGGGGGTGGAGTTGATAAAATCTTGTTGAAATTTCTCTAGAGATTCTTTCCCATGTCATCAGTGTAACTTGAGTATTTCAGGGGGTTGAGAGGGCAGCTGCTGAGGAAATGGGCTTCAAGGTCTATCATAAATATATTGGCATGTTGGGGAGCTATATGTATGCCCATGGCAATGTCTTCTGTGGATATAGGGAGTCCTCAAATCTGAAATCCTCCTTGCACAACTAAGGAGGAGAGTGCAGTGGAGAAAAGTGGTATCCTTGCTGGGGAATAATGTTCTTTAAGGCTTATATTATAATTCATCCTTATTTAGGGGGGGGATACTGGTGTGCAGAGATGTGACATCCATGGTAGCTAATATGGTGTTTGCTGGAAGCTTGTCAACTAACAAATGTGTCCTTCAACAATATAAGAGCTATTAATGAGATGAGGGTTGTAGCTCAGGAATGCAACTTCCATCACCCTACTTCTGTTGCATCAACAGATACAACTCCACATGGTACAAGATACAGTGATAAAGATGCTCACGCTTTTGAGGCTAATTCCAATGCAGGAAGATGAGACGCAATGGGAGATGTGCAACATTTAATATTTTGAATAAATATTTGTGGCACTTGCAGTTAGCATAGGCTGCCCTTGAGGTTTTCTCTAGCTTTTAAGTGATGTTGCTGATGAGACTAAATGTTAAATGCATTTTCTTTCAGGGCAAGTAGTGAGAACTCTGTTTCATGGCACTCTAATTTTGTTTAGTCCAACTTTCTTCTAATATGTTTTGTGTGACTTTCTAGTTCTTTGCCCAGGTATTTTGCATTGAATTCCAGAAAATACCAAAATTTTTAACCTTTACAAAATTGAATATAATGCAGGAAAAACTATAGCAATAAGTTACCTAGCTGGTTTTCATTTAGTTTTTTATTCTCTGCTGTGCCTTAGACTTGGTCCTTAAGTCAGTCATGTATACTTGCACTGCTTTTAGGGTTCCTCTTCCACAAGATGAGGATGCCACCTATTATGCATTCATAAATTTTCAGATACTTGAGATCTTTGTTTCTGTAAACACAAATGTTCCTTAAAGATTTGCCATTTAATCATTTTATGAATCTGTGCCCTTCTGAGGCATGGAATAGGCTTTTATAAATGTAACATCTTATCAATTTACCTTCACTGCAGGTGGAAAACTTGCTGATTAGTAACCAAGGAACAATTAAGCTGTGTGACTTTGGCAGTGCTACAACAGTAGCATATTATCCTGACTACAGTTGGTCTGCACAAAAGAGAGCAATAGTTGAAGAAGAGGTGAGAAACTTAACATGTACAGGCATACCTCGGAGATGTTGCAGGTTCGGTTCCAGACCACCGCAATAAAGCGAGTCGCACGAATTTTTTGGTTTCCCAGTGCATATAAAAGTTATGTTTATACTATACTGTAGTCTATTAAGTGTGCAATAGCATTAAGTCTAAAAAAACAATGTACATACCTTAATTAAAAAAATACTTTATTGCTAAAAAATGCTAACCATCATCTGAGCCTTCAGCAAGTTGTAATCTTTTTGCTGGTGGAGGGTCTTGCCTCAATGTTGATGGCTGCTGACTGATCAGGGCGGTGGTTGCTGAAGGCTGGGGTAGCTGTGGCAATTGCTTAAAATAAGACAACAATGAAGGTTGCCACAAACCTTCAACTTGTAAAAAACAAACAAAAACAAAAAAAACCCCGCAATATCTGCAAAGCGCAATAAAGCAAAACGCAATAAAACGAGGTATGCCTGTAATTGCTTTTACAATGTTGGGTTTACTGTTGCATACTTGCTTTTGTCACTAATCCTGAGTAGATGTTTTATAATGGCTCTAAGACAACCAAAGGTCATTTGGATTTCAAATTTGATTAAAACGACTCACTTGTTAGCTTAGGTTGTACCTACTGCTTTTTCCCCTACCTGAAGAAAAATGTACTTTGTGCCCAAAAGCTTGTATAAGATCTCCTCTACCCATACAGTGTCTGCTGTTCTAATGCAGGTAAGTATGCAACTTGGAAGTTCTGATCTCTCATTAAAAGAGAGAAAGTATTGACTCATTTCCTGCTTGTATGTTAATTTATAATCTCTGAAAAAAGGCATAAAGTTGTTTTGTACTGGAGTGATTTTTTTTTCCTTTTTTATTGCATAATCTGCTAAACTAAAGTAAGGCCCCTAACATTGATTTGGGTGATTGTGTGAAAAGCAGTAAGGTCTGCTTCATTGTCTTGGGACTGTGCTATATTTCTGTACTCCCAGGACAGCTATAATTAGTGATAGTACTTTTCCCCACTTCTGTAAAATGTGTTTTTGTAATTTTGTCTGATATAGCACATGGTTTACCAGGCTGACAGATGGTATCATTTTGCCTTGGGAAGGATGTAGGATAAATCACCTGGAGCCATTTGGGTTGTTAGAAGTACAAGATGAAGTTTAAAATCCATAGGCTTATCAGTGGACATTCAGGTTGACAGCATTAAATTCTTTATCTGGCCCTGAAAACAAGTAGAATGATCTTTCTTTATATCCATTCCTCCCCCTCCCCCTTTGGAATTCAGGACTTAGAGCCACCTGCCAACTTTCTGAGAACAAATGTTCGTGCACTGCAGTTGGGTAATGTTTCTTGCTTAAGGTAGTGACAAGAGGTACAAAGAGTCCCTTTTCCAGGAGGGTTTTCAGGGTATGATTATGGGCTTATTTGTTCTACACTTACACCCTGTATAAACACTTAGTGAATACTAAAGAGTGTCTTTTGAGAGAAGTTACTCTGCTTTGTAATTGGAATAAGCTACTAAGTGTCCACACCAGGAGTTAATACAAAGTGACTAGTGCTCAGTAAATCCAATGTCTACTAACTTCCCCATGTAGACAAGTAAAAATGTGAATCCCAGAGTCTTTACACCAAGGTACAAAGGTCTTGTACCAATATTGTGAGATTCAAAGCAAAGGGTCCTATGCTGGTAAATATTTACCAGACTGTCTTTAGAAGTTAAATGGACTCCCGTTCTTTGCATTTGTTGTAGCAAAATGTAATTTGAAAGCTATTTTCTTAGTTATAAAGCTCTAGTGCACTATTTCAGGCTCTTCCTCAAGAAGCTGTATTTTGTGTTTGCAGATTACGAGGAACACAACCCCAATGTACAGGACTCCAGAAATGATCGACTTGTATTCAAACTTTCCAATTGGTGAAAAACAGGATATATGGGTAGGGACTTTCATTTATCTTTGATTTTAATACTGTCTGCTAGAGACTGCATATTTGAATAGTTGGTATATTTAGTCTCACATTATATTTGAATGTGTTAGTCACTGCTGTACTGTGAAGTGCAGACTGCAGCTTAATTGGTTGCATTATTCTAATATTATAAAAATGGCTGGCTTTATTTGCACTCTGGCTGACAAACAGCCAATCAGTGTGTGAAGAAGTGTTTGGACAGGAGGCGGTGGAGCACCGCCATGATGGCGGGGACATGGGATGGAGGTGGGGGGGTGAGGCCAGCAGTACTCGAATTGCCTGTTTTTCCCTTTCCTTTGTTGCCACCTGCGGGGCTGACGTGGCCTGATGTGGGGAGGGGGAGGAGTGGGCCTGGGCCTCATGCTGGGTTGGGGAGGGGGAGGAGGAGTGAGCCCAAGCTGGGGGAGAAGCCAGG